AAGGGGATTTTTTGAGGAATTCCAATTTGTTGATAACACGTGCATGCATAATTCGATGGATGTTTTACATAAACACGAGATGGTCTCGTTTTTCGGGCTTTTGTTGGCGGCCAGCAAAAATCAGTGATCGTTTTAGAAGTCCGACTAAAAACCATCGTCACGTACACGCGGACAGTTTAGTTTTAGTCCAGATCAAAAACTTATGAATGAATTTAAAAAAGCGGACTTTGTAATCGTCGTTAATCGTGCATTTGAAATTACTTCGATTTGGTTTCAAATTCACTTTGTCATTGGGTTTCTTCCTTTAATCACCGACGAATAAATGCTTTATTCATGGCGTTTAAGCATCAAATAGGTTTGCGGTTTTGACTTTTTTGTCACGTTTTCTTAATAAATTCATGCATTTCTTTGATTTACGTGATGCCAACACGCTTTTTGCCCACTTACATTTCAGTAACGCTGCAAATTAACGAATCATTACTATTCCGTTGGAATTATCACGAAAATGAGCTAAACAAATTACTCTTTAATTGTATTAACGAGAAACTAATAGTGAAAACCGTATACGTAATTTTATGATTTCTTGATTACGAGCCTTTATTATCATTCTCTATGAGATTCTGAACGATTCCAACTTAAACCGCTAATTATATTTTACTTATAATATATTCATTTATTCCGTTTTTTGTATTCTATCTAATCATCGCTAGATCTATCATCCAAAAGCGTAGTACGAATTTTAATTGCGTTATTTACTGCCTATTTCATATAACACATTTGTAATGTATGTTTTATGTAAAAAATATTTCATTTCATAAAAAGAACATTTGCAATTACACTTGTATTGTGATACAAAAAACGACCGCATTATTGTGCAAAAATTTCAGTAATGAGTGGAAAATATTTTCAAACAATAATATGACGTGAACATGCATTATAATTATTAAATAACACATCGAATGACGAAATATGAAGTTTAGCTTATACTACGAGTATATCGAGAAAATAATTATAAACTTTAGACCAAATTTTTGGCACAATAAACGACAATAATTCACATAATTTTTAAATTATTATTATTGATTGTAGATGCAAAAAATAATTAAAGCTGTGATAACACTGATAACCGTAACTGCAAGTTTTTTCTTCTTTTCTTTTTTTTTTTCGTTAGCGATCCACCTTGTAGGGATGTTTAATTCCTTATTTTACATCCATTCTTACAGGAAATCTTTTTAACTAATAATTTGTTTTAATAGCTTAATATAAAATGTATTATTGAAAGTGATTTCAAATCTGTCTCCAGATTTATGTAATCCAGGATAACCCTGGATTACATTAATAATAATAACAATAGATCATAGATTATTCTTGTATAAATTGACAACTTTAAAACCCACTGACAGTGCAGTCTTAGATGAGCGAATTCGTGGCAATGTTATAAAAAAATCAAAACATTAAAAAAGCATCGATTTCTGAAGAAATTGATACACAATTTATCAAAAAGAGTTCGGAATTCTGTATGTATTTCTGTTAGCATTCTATTTTTAATTGTAGATTTCGGCAACATCTCCACAATTTTTACTTCTAAAGTATATTCCTCTATTTTTTTTAAGTGATGTAAAATACCGGGTATCCCAGTTTACCTGCCTCATTTTACTATCTTATCTAAATATATGAAAAGATAAAAGTTAGAAATTTATTTAGAATAATTAACTAAGACAAAGGAATCTATGAAAAATTATGTACAAAAATATAACCTCTTTCAACTCCCACCATTACTCTTCCATTTCAAGTTCTTACAAAACTAAAAAAATTCTCAAAGCTTAGGTAGGCCATATAGGGTACAGTGACCTTACTCATTTTTAACAGTGTGTTAACAGTGTAATAATATCCTTCCCAAAACACCAGCAGATCTTTATGTGTGATGATTTCTCTTTTTAAACATTCCCTTCAATTTTTGCCACCCGAACGTAAGCTAAGGAAGTATAGCAATCGAGTCCACCGGATGACTTCCCAGTTTCCTATTTTGTCGATGTTTCATGACTCCTAGACTACGAAAAAAGCGGTATTCGGTTTTCATCTGTCTGTCGTCTATCTGTCTGTCCGTCCGTCGGCCTGTCTGTCTGTCTGTCTGTCTGTGTCGATTTTTATTAGACAGATAATCTCCAAAACTATTGGACCGATTGATGTCAAATTTTATACGTATATGAAATATCATGTAAATTGATGGTAAAACACTAACCAAAATTTGGCTAATCATCCCAACCAACAATTTGAGGACGTCTTTTGAAAGAATTCTAAATTAAAATGATTTCAATGTCACACAATAATATACTCCTATACTTGTGGAGCACGAATCCGATTTGACTTTTTTCCTAAACGGACCAAATTTTCGCAAAAAATTAACACACGCGGACCTGCGGCTCACAAGTTCAGTGCCAAACTTGCCCGTGTCTTTTTTTTCTCTTGCGCTGTGACTGGTATATCTTCTAAGTATAAACATAAACAGTTGAAATTGGCCATGTAATGAAACACTGAGAAAATATATTACATTTTGTCTGTGCCTCGTTGCGATTTGTTTAGAATTGTTTACACAGAGCACTGATTACACAATGACTCAAAAAAATTAATAAATGAGTCAATTTATTTCACTGATTAAATCAGGAACGGCTCTCTCCATTTTTCAGAAAATTAGGGAATACAATACTATTATTATTAGTGTTACACTGCACGTATCTAAAGTGCTATACGTGTCCTCACCATACGTGACGTCATCACAAAATTTTATAAATGAAAACTTCATTTGAAAAATACGCCTAGCACGCTTCTTCACATTTACTTTAACATTGCATACATATCTTTATTTGAACGTACAGGGGTTATTATAAAAAACAAAATTCCCAAAATTAAATTCTGTAAGTTTTCGAAAAAGCTGGCTATGATTTATTGTATCTCGGGAGTGAGAAAAGTTCTGTCGAAATAACCTTCGACCATTTTTTTTAATATCTTGGAATTTGTTGTGCCGGAACACTTTGCCCTTTTGCCTAATTTTTGATTTACCATTATTTTACAGTATTTATTAGCAATTTCACAAAAAATCACAAAAACTACAGAAAAATTAATGTTTTTTTTATTAATTTCGAAGGCTTCCACGGTCGGAGTCGATATATGATCGTTTTTCGGCTTGGGACCGTGTCAGTTAGGTTTTTGGGCTCAACGTTTCGCACACTTTCATATATGGCATCTTCAGGAGCAGGGTTGAGAAATTTTTTTATTGTTTAAAACATTTTGAAGGACTTAAGCTAAATACTGGTATTATATAATTGAAAAATTAAAAAAATGTACTATGTACTTCGAATTGTGGAACAGTGAAGAAAAACATAATGCATTGCACTAGCAAAAAAAATATATGTTATTTCTAAAAGTTCACATCGATATAATCCTCCAGTGAACTCATTTATAAAGATTTTTTCAAATAATTAAATATTGCAGCGGAACAAATAAACTGGAATACATTAATTTAAAGATTTTTACTGCCAGTCTTAGCTGTTATTGACACAAATTAAAGATATTCTACCGAATTTTTGTTAAACCGGAAAAACAACGGGCAACAGATTTTTTTTGTAGTAATAAGAAATTTATAGTTCTCTATAATTTCTGGTACGGATATCTACATATATATTTATTGGAATAACTGTTTACCCAAATATCCTCCAAACACCAATAACAAATATAGAGTAGTCCCGTTAAAATTCCGGGGCCTTATATCTTCAGAACAGATAATACTGAATTTTTGTAAACGCCATTGTTTTTAGTTTGAAGGTGGAAGTTTAATTTAGTGTACTGCAAATATGACACATATTTCGTCGTTGCGAACCAAATGTATATTTTTTAATGGATTTTGATAAATCTTTAAATTGTGATTCTGATGATTAGAGAGCGGATTTTATGAAATTTGCATATCCGTTATTTTTTGCATATAAGTCTTGATATTTAATATGAGAACGAATCATGCTAAATAAAAATGAATACAGCTATAAAAAAAATTGCATATTTGCATATATTTGCCTTCTGCTGCATATTTCACGTAACGGGTGCATATTTTGCATTTTTATCAATTTTTGTGCTATTTTGAAAAAAAAAATGATTGTCATTCTATCGACATTTATCTAGAAAGACGAAATTTCATGAATCATACTGCAAATATTGTCCTGAGGTTCAAATAACTAGGAAAGGTTTGGATTTTATGGTAGTTTGAAGAAACGACTGGGTGTTAAGCCATCCTTCCAGGTAAATTCGCGCCCTAATTACTTTTGGAAATAAGTTCATTCCCAATATTTTTGTTCGTTCCTTCGGTGTATTAATGGTATGTTTTATGGTGGTCGGAGGGACGTTATCCCATTATTTTTCATTTTTCTAGACCGGTAAGTATCTTTACATCTGTGGACGTAGTACGCAGTTTTTCTGTTTACAAATACATACTATAGAATCACAGGAAAAACTTTTTGTTAGAATATTTCGAAAAATATTTAAAAACAAATTGTTACCAAAATAGTAATTAAACAGTCGATTACTATTATTTTTTAATTTGTTCTGTTTGTATTTATTTTTTAGTAAAAATGTGATTTATGTGTTAGTGAGACGTAATTAAACACTTTGCAATGTGATTGATGTATTTTTTGTAAGAAAACGTAAGCTCGGGAAACCTGTTTTTGTGATTTGTAAATAAATTTAGTTCGCTTATTGAGCTTTTTTTTTAATTTTTGGAGCATATGCAACTGCATATCTCTGCATATATTAAGAAAGTTACTGCATATTTGCATAAATTTGGTGCATATTTTCCGCTCTCTACTGATGATATTGTTACGTTGATCGGTGATTGAAATCAGTGTGGGTAAAACGCAACACCTTATTTCTTAGTAACTCAAATTTTCATAACTAATCACACAGAGATTATGTACACAATAATTCCGACTGGAATTAATTTGACTAGACTCTACTTCTCTCATTGTCAGGACATAACTCTGACTGCTCCCAACGGTGGTTCCCATTTAAACAGCCACGCGGTCCTTCTCGAAACGCCTCGGTCATCGCTTCTCGAATTGTCTGGAGCACCCATTCGCGACTTCCGCTTCCAGGCTCTTCCTTAACAAACGCGGTTCGGCCGCCGTCACCGACGATGAGTCACTCATCATCGCCGCACATACTAGAAAACATAGGCGTCATATCGGGGCGGCATATGGGTTTATTTTGTAACAATATAAAATATTACATGAACTGTCTAACTAGGCAGTGTTAATGTTAACATCAGAAAACTTAGACAACAACGGCATTTCTTTTTTACCTGTAAAAAATGTTTAATTGTTTTAATTCTGCAAAACATTTATTACAAAAATTGGATCGGTAACAGAGGTCTTACTGTCAACCACTAACCAGCTGGCATCCCAGATTTAACGCCTGTGGATTTATTTTTGTGTCTTTAGTAGGCCGTAAAATTTGTTTTTAAAATTATAATGTCGGCAATACCAATTTGAGAGTTCCGGTTCAAGAACTGTCGCATGAAGTGTTAATTAATTAGCTGTAATACCAACATTTTTTTATTTTAAAAATTAATTTCATGGCCTAGAGAATTTTACTATTCTACTTTATTTCATTCTTCTTCTATTTTTTATATTCATAAATTTCATTTTTTTAACCGGCTGAAAATGAAATTAACACCCAAGTGCTTTACATTATTGTAATAATAATTGTATGATCTATCAAAATCACCTAAAACATATATATGCTGAAGTTTAAAAACATGCAAGTTTATATCGCTAACCCGACACTATGTACGTCATATTTGATTAAACTTCCCCCGTTAAGATACAAAAATTTACACTTTCAATATATCTACCCATTTTTAAGTTATTTCTCCGACACACTTGTATATAGATATATGTATGTCACGTAGCTTTACCACTTAAAGATGTAACTATATGTAAATAGGATTTTATACCAGTGGTCTTTGATATATTGAAAATATTTTCATGCATCTTTTAATTAAGAACAGTCGCTGCGTTTGGGGCATGGGATTTACAATACATTTTCAAAATGTAACGTCTCAATTATTAACAGAATTCCAGTTATAAAATTTTAAAAGTAACCTGTTCACAGCTTTTATATATATATAACGCAGGGGCAGTTTTTTTCTTTTTCATATTTTGGTAAAATTTTTCATCACTTATTGTTGAAAATCAATACATACCTCAATTCTTTAACGAAATTTCGGAACGCGGTTTTTGCCACTGTTTTCAGCTTACAAAACTCTATAAATCGTACCAAAAACATTAACAACTTTGTTTGTTGAAATTGAGATATAGTAAAACGCAACTTGTTCGACACAACCTGCTTCACTGTATTTTATTTCCGACAAAAAAAGTCGACAATCTTTTTAATACGATTCATAGAGTTTAGGAAGGTGGAAACACTGGTGAAAGCTGAGCTCCAAAATTTCCATTAATAATTGAGAATTTGATTTTTAAAAATACTTGATGAAAAATTTCACTAAAATTAAAAAAATATGCAATAAACTGTTTTTTTACGAGCCCTGAGTTATATAGAGAAAGTTGTGGACAGGTTATACTTAAAATTTCATAACAATAGACCTGTTAATAATGGAAATATTATATTCTGAAAATGCATTGACAACGGGGACGACTCCTCTTAACATAATGTTTAACAATTTCTTCCTACATTATCTACATTGCTTTCCATTCCATATGTTTCAGTATACCTCAAAACAAAACCAGTTTAAAATACGTACTTCGTTTTTACACACAAATCAATAATCTAAAAATCTGGAGGGACACCCTGTCACAGCTCACTGATCAGACCCATAATCTTCCTGACTATCCCTGGTAATTAATTATTCTCGTCAAATAACACCTAAGTGTTCGCAACTTCAGCAATGTGCACAATGTCATAATATTATACGCAATAATCATCTCAAATTATTAAATATTGCCACTGTTTTGGTACCAAATAATAAGACTTTATAGTATTAGATCACCAAATAAAAAAATTGTATCAATACATTTGTTGCAGAATTAAATGATTGGGGTAATTCGAAAAACCTTTTGATTAGCAACAAAACCGATGACCATCTCCGCACTTTTTCCATTATCCAATTTAAAGGTAGCAAAAGCGCTTTGAGGACAAAGTCGAGGCGTTGTAAATTCGAAATTCCTGTCATTGTCAAGCAAGACTTTAAGTAAACTTCAAAGACAAACGTTGTTCTGTTTGAAAGTCCAGAGCAGAGGGTAGGCCAATCAGGCCCGGATTGAATTGTGTGTGGATGTGTGTTCATCCCCATGTTGACATTGTTGCCGTTGCCGGAATAGACTTTCAATTCATTAGCGCAGGGCGTTGTCATATCACAATCAGGATAACCTGAAAAATATATTTACGTTAGATGGCCGGATAGAATTTCAATTCATTTAAAAGCATCGCCAGGGTCGGACTTTCATAATTAAAATAGTACATACTCACGACATATATACACCAAAATCCTTTTTCTTGGAGGGCTTATTCGAAATGGTAACGAAGCCCATTGACTTGGTAAAGAGGTTCTGTTTCAGATATAACGCAGCTTGTGTTTTCTAATATTCCAAGCTCCCGGAAAGCCAGCCATCTCGGATGGATTTTCCCAACCATGAATTCTGGAATAAAACTGAATAATGTAGAAAGTTATATATATTTGGAATATTTATCAAAAGGAATCGCTTCGAGAAGTCGATACAATGAGGTCACCCTTGAAAGCAGTAGACTCCGTAAATCATAACAAATGCATATAATTGACTTTTCTGATTTATTAATCGCGTTTAAAATGCAAATACGATGCATGACTGAACCAGAATTTATAAATATATCCACATTTATTTCAAAAAAGTCGGGAATAAATCGGAATACGGTTAAAGAACTTTAATTTGTAATGGTAATTACTTGTTTGAGAAGGATCATGCATCATCAGCAGTACAAACTTGGCCGCCAACTAATTATTAAGTCCATATTGCATTCGTAATGTTTCAATAACAAGCCAATATTATCATTGCATTGCATTTGTGGAAACAACTGCACTCTTAAAGACGCCATCAGAGTTCGAAATCGTCTTTCGATCAGATAAATATGTACTTTTCGGCCATCTCCCATACAGAAATATTTTCATCCTGTTTTTGCGGATACAAATCGTATTTACACACAAAACAAAATAGTATTTATTGTTTCCTAAAAACAACCACTTATAAATACCGCTATGGTCTATAATCGTCCTCTCTTAAAGCGAAAAATAATATCGCAGACACGAAAATGAATTATGAATTAGTACATACAAATCGTAATTATTATCCTAACAATTCAAGTTGTACTTTGTAAGCGATCCACACACCGACTTTTGATCGGAGCGAAGATAAATAAGCTGGATGGAGAACCGTTAGGAGATTTCTCATTTGCGAAAATACAATGACCATCATAACTCTCAGACCGAAACTAACAAAATGATTTAATATCTAATTAAATTATCTTTTAGAATATGAAGCAGAAAATTGTAATAATCGACTATTATTAATTATGGGTTATGTAGGCGTAACAGTTTTTACCCAAAGAATGCAGGCATATAAATCCTAATTTTTTAGACGATATGTAATTACTAATTACAGCTTATTTACTAAAGAGTTTGAACCAACATTGATCCTAGCGACCAGTAAAAATAACATTAACCGCTTAAGAGCGAACTTCAATATTTTTAAACTAATGTAATGTCATTTATACTCTAGCAATTATAACTTAAAATGTAGATAATATAAAGTAAAATAATGACAATTCTAAAATGCCGAAAATCTATTTGAAAAAGTAATAACATTTTGATATATAAAGATGTAAAATATAAACACAATTTCCACCCAGTCGTATTGTACTGTACCTACGCTTCGTTTCCATAAGTATCAGTCATTTTAAATGTTAAAGCACAAGTACTAAACGCTAACAAAAAAAATCTAGGGTTTTGTTGACGAAAACATAAAAAATCTTCTCAGTTTTTTAGTTTTTGTGAAAGTTAACTGAAATCTTATGTTCCTACACTTAAATACGCAATAAAAAATACAAAACGAGTTTCCCTAAAAGAGGTTTGCAAGTGGTGCCTAAAGATGGACAGATTCGAATTTTGGGCATGGAACTGAAGCGAACCTGAACATACACACAATCTTGCTATCATAAGAACCTTAAAACCTTAAAAGTAAGCTCATCTGCCAGTATCTCATATGGTGGTATACATTTCGTTTCCACCTCGATCGGACAACCTTTACCCAGAGAACATTCAACTAATTTGAATGTTTCTGGTGTACCTCTGGTGGGGTTGAATTGCATACGGAGTGTTACAGCTTTATTAAAATATATTTCACTCAAATTTCAAATTGTAAAACCTCTAAGTATTGTTATACGTTGTCTATTTAAACGCAGTCATTGTTCCTTCATTGAAAATTAACGACTGGCAGATTTAACTTAATAAGTTGTTTAAAAACCACTTTCCAGATTTCTACACACTTTAAATATTTTTAGAATATAAGTACATAAGGATTTTCGGTTTAGTTGTCTTCGTGTTAAGCGTCCACAACCTGGCCGAACGTGGAAAATATGTAGCAACTTTTTTATTAAATTTACTTAAAATTCCTGAACTTTACAATAAACAAAACTTATGAAATCATCACAACTCCTAAACTTTTACTTCCTGATACTTAGAGCGAAACGTAACTGCCCCTTTGCTTGGTAAAAGTTCCATGATCACTATGTTAAACAAAAAAAGTAGCCAAATCGAAATAATTATACATATTGAGAACCCTTCATTGCAGTGGCGGCTCGTGAAGTTTTCTTCAAAGGAGGCTCAAATTTGAAAAGCACTACTTTTTATATCTTTCATTATCTGAATATTTTTTTTTTGTCATGCCCACGAAAAGAACACTCCTGCGTTGATAGATGAACTATTGCATCGATTAGTCTTTTCAAAGTTGCCCTATTTTACCAACTTTCTCGTTATAGTTCTCAATATCCCTCTTATGAGCGGAATTTAAGTAGTAGAAGAAAATATGTGTTCCTGTGATTTTTCATGCCTTTCTATTGCTCATGACAAATTTTGTAAATTATTATAGCCTGTTTTATCCCAAACGGAAAATTTATCACTTGTGAATAATACACAATTCCAACAGTATAATTTGTTTCTTAAAAAACCGAAGGCGTTAACCATTTAGTTTTATTATAATTATTTTCATGAAATGCTCTGTTTTGCTTTTTACCTGTCATTACCATTAATGGGAGTGGTGGTGTTGGTCTCCCCTTTTGTTTTATAGCGATCTTTTTATCACAATCAAAGCTACTAAATTCATTTTTTAATAGATAATAATTTACGTATCTGCACATGAGACTGAATTATTTTCGTTGATCATTCTCGTTAAGTATAAGTAATATTAATATGCCGATAATACCAGCTGTTTTTAACGATCAGAAATAAAACGCAAATAAATGATACAAAAAACACCTTAGGCTTTACGTAGGTACTAAAGCCTAAACACCACTCACCACTGAATAGGGAGCACGTGAAACCACCTCAATTTTTTTCCAATTTACACCCGATCGCTCCAATTAATAAGATAGAGATAAAATTATCCGTGCGACTTGATCTGAAAAGAGATGAACTAGCCGGAGGCTAGCGGCCTGAAGCGGCACCCTGATCAACGTTTTAGCCAATGTAGTACCGAATGACGATGCGTCAAGGTTGCGGTCTCAATAGTAAGATGCATTCTCGGCGGAGGCTAGTCTTTATCGCTGAAACCAAGCGCGGAGTGGTGTGAATTATGATTGTAAGGGCGCAAATATAATTTTTTTCGACATTTTAACCTGATATCTGATGAAAGTAAATTAAATCAAACAAAATATTCTGAAAAGTAACAAATGTCTACAAAAATACAAATTCTTTCATCGAAAAAATTAGAGGAAGTTCAGCCCCAAAAAACATAGGAGGCTCAGCCTCCCCTGCCTCCTCTGAGGAGCCGCCACTGCTTCATTGATAGACAACTAGAATAGTTAACCATCTGTATTATTAGTCAAAACAAATTGGGATTTCCTAAAAGAATACGCAAATTCGGTCTGTCGTATACATATTTTTCCTATACAGAAACATTTAACAATTTACAAACCAAAAATTACAAATGATAAAAGCAAACTATAAGGCTTATATTAAGGAAGCGGAGAATATGCTAACCAAAAATCCAAAAAATTCCTGGGGATTTATACAACAGAAAAAGTGTAGAACTCGTATCCCTGGAGTCATGACTTATATAGTCAAGAATTGAAGAAGACACCTACTACTATCATGGTCGGATTAAGCGACTTTTTTAAAAGGGTACATATTCAGTCAAATCCTGTGCCACCTGGCTTTTCAGTGAGATGTGACTCCGATGTCGATGTGTCAGTGGAGAAGTTGACTTTGTCAGAAGTACTGGAAGCTCTCAAGCGATCTAAAAATACATTAACTTCTGGTATTGACGGGATTCCAAGTTTTTTATTAAAAGACTGTGCATCAGTGCTGGCTGAGCCACTATTTTATTTATTTAACCTGATATTGAAAAAAAGTACCGTTCCTTCGGTATGGAAAAAATCCGTCATTTGCCCAATTTTTAAAATTGGAAATTCAACTGAAATCGAAAACTATACGCCAATTTCTCTTTTATGTAATTTTGGCAAGGTACTCGAAGTGATATTGTATAAAAGAATATATCCATTGATTCATTATTTCACCCAATCAGCATGGATTCATGGAAAGAAGATCGAGTTTAACTAACCTGATTTGTATCACACAGGATTTATTGGAAGTAATTGATGACCATATACACAGATTTTAGGAAAGCGTTTGACCAAGTTACTGCTCGAGAAACTACGTAGGATAGGATTTTCCGATTCTCTCCTCTCTCTCTTTGAGTCTTACTTATTTAATCGAGAACACTGCGTAAGATATCAGAACAGTCTTTCCAAATCTTTTAACCCAACCTATGGTATACCTCAAGGGTCAAATTTAGGCCCAATATTATTTCTTTTATTTATAAATGACTTGCTATTTAAGTTTTCATGTAAGACACTTTCATTTGCTGATGATGTCAAAATGTATGGAAAAATACAAACAGTCAACGACTGCTACTGGTGCTTACTAAATTGTCTAATATTAAATGTCTCAAACTGCTATGTCGTAACGTACATCAAAATGAAACAGCCCTTACAATTCATCTATAGGATTGGTAACAAAGAAGCTCAGCGTACTGACTGTATTAAAGATCTAGGCGTTTTCTTTGACACAAAGCTGGATTTTATTAATCACATTAATTATGTTGCTGGTAAGGCGTATAAAAACCTAGGCTTTATTCATAGAAATTGTAAAGAATTTAGTAATGTACAAGCTTTGAAAATGTTGTATTACGCGCTAGTTCGATCGCAGCTAGAGTACCTACTGCTCAATTGTCTGATCACATATCCATGGGATACATGTAGATCGTTTAGAATCTATTAAAAGGAAATTCCTTCACAAGCAACTTTGGAAATTGGGATTTTTGACTCTATTAGTAAATAGTGATTCTTTGTTATGGATATAGTCAATTTTCTAGTGTGAAAGTTTATCTGG